GTTTACAGTCAGTTGTGTCTAAAATCTGGACCAAATACAAACAATATGGGAAGGTTGTTAAAGGCAAACATACTGGTAGACCAATAAGGAACACATCAGAGTGTCAAGACAGAAAACTTAAAGCAATATGTCTCAAAAACAAAAAAAAATGAACAACAAAACAAATGAGGAACGAATGGGAGGAAACTGGAGTTAACGTCTGTGACCGAACTGTAAAAAACCACCTAAAGGAAATGGGATTTACATACAGAAAAGCTAAACGAAAGCCATCATTAACACCAAAACAGAAAAAAACAAGGTTACAATTGGCTAAGGAAAAGCAATCGTGGACTGTGGATGACTGGATGAAAGTCATATTCAGTGATGAATCACGAATCTGCATTGGGCAAGGTGATGATGCTGGTACTTTTACTTGGTGCTGTTCCAATGAGATTTACAAAGATGACTGCCTTAATTAAGAGAACATGCAAATTTCCACAGTCATTAATGATATGGGGCTGCATGTCAGGTAAAGGCACTGGGGAGATGGCTGTCATTACATCTTCAATGAATGCACAAGTTTACGTTGATATTTTGGACACTTTTCTTATCCCGTCAATTGAAAAGATGTTTGGGGATGATGAAATCATTTTTCAATATGACAATGCATCTTGCCATAGAGCAAAAACTGTGAAAACATTCCTTGAAAAAGAAACAAAGGTCAATGTCATGGCCTGCAAATAGTCCGGATCTTAATCCAATTGAAAATCTTTTGTGGAAGTTGAAGAAATTGGTCCATGACAAGGCTTCAACCTGCAAAGCTGATCTGTCTACAGCAATCAGAGAAAGTTGGAGGCAGATTGATGAAGAGTACTTGTTTGTCACTCGTTAAGTCCCTGCCTCAGAGACTGCAAGCTGTTATAAAAGCCAGAGGAGGTGCAACAAAATACTAGTGATGTGTTGGAGCGTTCTTTTGTTTTTCATGATTCCATAATTTTTTCCTTAGAATTGAGTGATTCCATATTTTTTTCCCTCTGCTTGGTCTAAAAAAATAACCGTTACTGACTGCACAATTTTTTTCTGGATTTCTTATAGTGTTTCTTAAAGACAGAAAGTTGCCATTTGAAATGACTTTAGTTTTGTGTCATGTCTGTGATCTGCTTTTTTTCTACTAAGTTAAACAACTGAATGAACATCCTCCGAGGCCGGTGATTCCATAATTTTTGCCAAGGGTTGTATGAAAGTGATGGTGGTATTGGACAATGCTGGCCACTAGCATACATCTCGCTTTCATGAGGTACAAAAGTGAAATTCTCGTCAATGCCCAGAATGAATGCAATCCTTTGAAGTTAGTCACTAAACACTGTGAATAATCGAACTTATAATTTTGAGTGTTCAGATGCATTCATAAATAAGAAAAAATACATTACTATTTAATTTTTGGATGCTCTAACACATAAATAAGATTCTTTTATTCATTTGAAGGTTTGGGCCCTTCATCGAAATAACTGCCGAGGAAATCATTCTTTCTTCCACATACAAAAAAAGTTTAAGTAGGGCCCTGGGAGAAGAAACCACACCTGATGTCATTATTATTGTTGAGTGAAATATTTGTATACTATTTTTCATCCGGGAAAATAAAAAGTCATAATTCATTAAAATCGCTTTCTAACAGTTTTTTCTTGCGCAAGTTATGCATCATGGATGATGTGCCTGGAGTTTCTTCGGAAAGATATTCGGCCACAATTGAGACTTCTTGACAATATTTCACAAATCCACGCAGCTTTGCTTCGTATACTAATTAATTCTGAACCAAGATATGCAAGTCGTGTTTCAGGCCCAAAATGTAATATAACTAAGCGCTTTAGTAGAAAAGCGAGTGTTATAAATATGAGGTCATTAAAAGATCCATGGATCCGTTATTCCGATCTCCGACGGTTGAATCTTGGACAAAAGCTAGCAAATTTTCATCAGTGCAGAACAGACAGCAAATTGTATTTCTGGAGAGTAGTTTGTGTAAGACGGAGCAATACGTTTTTATTGTCACAAACTCTATCTCACTTCGAAATAGCTCTAGAATACTTAGGGGAAAAACACTAACCTGTAATGAGAACTCTCATTGAAATCAACGTAATTCTGCACTTGATTCTGATGGCCAAGATGAAACTTGGTTCTGGGATTCGACTCAATCGTTGGCTTTCGCATCGTTGCGTGATTGTTATACGTTATTCAATCATGATCCGCTGCCTGCTAATTTTATCACCTTAGTCTGAATATTGAATATTGAATATTGAAGGAAACGGACGTCACACTTAAGAACGTCTGCTAAAAAATTGAATTTTAGCCCGTGTGAAGATTTCTATCGCTTTTCAGCTGGTGCTGATGAAACCACTGCTAAATCGCTGAAAACGAGCTCGGAAGTATACAATCATACTTTTTTTTCCGGTAAATGACATTTTTCTCATGTCTGTTATTATCAACTTCCCGAGTTATCATCAGTTTCTTCGCATATGTTAATAGATATTTTGCCTAAGCATATGACAGCGTTCCGCATGTGCGGTTGTTGCGTAAATTGAAGTCTTTGGGAATTGAGGGAAACGTACTCCAATGGATCAGAGATTTTCTAGTAGGTAGACGACAACGTGTCAGTATTAAGGGAAGCGTGTCAGACTGGGCATCAGTGCACAGAGGCGTGCCACAAGGAAGCGTTCTTGGGCCCTTTTTGTTCGTTGCTTTTATAAACGATCTGCCAGAAGCAGTGTCCAGCTTGTGCTCCATGTATGCCGACGACACAAATGTTTATAATTCAGTGAAGGATGCGTCAAATAAAGCGCAATTGCAAGATAATCTTGACAGTTTATTTAACTGGGCTGATACGTGGCAGCTGCGGTTTAATGCTGACAAGTGTAAAGTACTACACCTCGGGAAGAACAATGAACAGCAAGATTACAGTATGAGAAGACATGGTTGCAACGAGAGAGTAATTATTGAAAAGTCTAGTGTGGAAAAAGATCTCAAAGTTTATGTCGACAAGGAGCTGAAATTTTCTAAGCATATTGAAACGCAAGCAAACACATTCAACAAACTTCTTGGATTAATCAGACTCTCGTACGAGTTGCTAGATGCAGAAGCGATGAAGCAGTTGTTTGTTGCTGTCGTGCGCCCGAATCTGGAGTTTGGAAACGTTGTGTGGTCACCGAGATTTGAATAGGACAAAAATTTAATAAAGAATGTTCAAAGACGTGCAATAAGGATAATTCCAGGCTTGAAGGACAAGTCCTATGAAGAAAGATTAAAGATTATGAAGCTTCCAAGCCTCTGTTATCGACGTCTGCGTGGGGACCTCATTGAAGTATACAAGTATACTCATGGTTTATACAAGGTCCCCGAAGGAGAAGGATTACTAGAATTTGAAACAAGAACCAACACCAGGGGCCACGGCTATAAACTAAAAAAACTGCGCTGCAACTTCTCCACGCGCCAACATTTCTTCTCGCTTCGAATCACCGACATGTGGAACAGCCTCCCCGATGACATCGTTGGCGCTCCAAGTTTGAACGCATTCAAAGAACAGACTAGATAAAGCTATGGAAAAATATATGTTCAGATTTGAAACGCCTAGCACCATATCGAACCCGGTGGAAGTCGAGTAGCTATTTCAAACTATCGTCATTCATGAAAAGATCCGGTCAAATGACACGATTTTAGATCTTCTGTGAGCAAGGCACGAAAAGGAAAAGAATCGGCGACAGGCCACATCAGGCCTACAATTCAGCGCCGAGATCACTATGTTATGTTATGTTATGATAAACTGAACGAATATATAATGACTCAGTTGCCACAGCATGTCATGCAAAATTTGATTTGTGGACATATGCAGGGCAGGCATGTTACGTCGTCAAACAAGTGCAGATACTGAATATGATATGCAACCAATTCATGGACACAAATAGTAGTTATTGTTGAGCTCAATAAATCATTCATCTAATTATAACATACAGGTCTCACCAAGTGATCAATGTCCAATTACTATGTCAAGTTCCATTATTTACTACTAGCTTATTTTCAAATGAGCAAATGAGGTAGAGGAAATTAAATGTGGTTATTGTGTTTATTGATCATCTGATGTTAAACTATTGTTGATCTAATGAACCAAGTACATGCAAAAAATTTCTTCGTATAAACTTGCATGTTTCTTTCCGGAAAATTGATACCTAGCTCATTCCTGTGCAGCCAAGTTCCATTATTTAACTACAAGCTTATTTTCAAATGAGCAAATGAGGTATTGGAAATTAATTGTGGTTATTAAGTTTAATGATCATCTGATGCTAAACTTGTGTTGATCTAATGAACAAAGTACATGCAAAGAATTTCTGCATAAAAACTTGCATGTTGCTTTCGGAAAAATTGATACCTAGCTCATTCCTATACAACCCGGAAAGGATGGTCTGATGTCGCTATCAATTTCCTGCAGTGGTTCTCTGCCGAAAAATTTTTTGATCCGGGATTGCTTGAATTAGTTTTGATCCATCTTTATTATTTCATTGTACTTTGTAAATGAGGTTCAATGCCAATTCCTGACGATATTTTCTTCATAGTGCAGCTGAGTTGAGTGCAGTGCTTTCCAGATACCGGAATCCACATTCTTTTGTCTTTCAGGGTCTCATTCTGCCGGTCATAACTATGCGTTGTAATTCAATTTTCCGCAGCTAAAATTGTTGAGTGGCACATCATCATGAGTCAAGCATTGCGTTTGTAATTTCAAAAGGGAGTACTTGTAGTTCATCAAGCATTTTTCTGTTCCATCATTCAAAGAACATAATAAATGACGTATAACAATTATTCATTTTCCAAAAACTTCAGAACTGTTTTCAATATCAGGTTTTCAAGTACCATTAAAATGTCATTTGGTAACCTGCTTTTCGATCTCCCGACGCCAGCAAGAAATTTTGTTCGACTCATTGAAAAAAAAATAAATAAAAAGATTGTTAATGTGGCCACTGCAGATCACCAGTCCTGACCCAAGATGCGCTGCACAGTCGCTGCCATCCTCGCCCTGACGCTGCTGGTCGCAACTCCGGGACTCATCAGCGGACAGCCCGCCGCTCCATCCGGTGGCCATGATCCAGTCATCAGCGGACAGCCCGCCGCTCCATCCGGTGGCCATGATCCAGTCATCAGCGGACAGCCCGCCGCTCCATCCGGTGGCCATGAACCAGTAAGCGGACAGCCCGCAGCTCCATCCGGTGGCCATCATCAAGTCATCAGCGGACAGCCCGCCGCTCCATCCGGTGGTCATGATCCAGACATCAGCGGACAGCCCGCCGCTCCATCCGGTGGCCATCATCAAGTCATCAGCGGACAGCCCGCCGCTCCATCCGGTGGCCATGATCCAGTCATCAGCGGACAGCCAGCCGCTCCATCCGGTGGCCATGATCAAGTCATCAGCGGACAGCCAGCCGCTCCATCCGGTGGCCATGATCCAGTCATCAGCGGACAGCCAGCCGCTCCACCCGGTGGTGATGTTCCAGTCATCAGCGGACAGCCCGCCTCTCCATCCGGTGGCCATGATCATGGCTCTCGGGCCACCGGATTGGCTCTCCCTGCGATGGCCATGATCCGGGCTCATCAAGACGGAGTGCTTTCATTTTCCGCGTGGCAGCGTATGATAAGGAAAAATACCACCAGGCACACGTTTATACGACCACGCCCTTGGTGTACCAAGCATTGCGAGAGAATAGCCGCAAATAGAGACTGTGTGACGGACTTACGGTGTATTCGTAGGTCGCGGCGCTGACCTATACCCCGTACTCGATCTTAAGTTATGCAGATGAACAAGCTCGTGTGATGTGCGTGAAGTCTGATGAGCGTGAGCTCGTGAATATTTCGTGTTTAACTTAGTAAAATACATCTGATTATGCATTAAAAACACTCAAGTTCTATGTACTTGTCTTTGATTTACCAACCTTATACAATTACTAGAATTTGTCACTTCAAGTGTATGACATATTAAATTCGTCAAACTTGAATGAAGTGGAATTAAGCGTGCGCGCTTTAACAATAACGTAAAAACCCTTCGGAAACCAAAGATATAATTGGATTCCATATATATGCAATGTATCAAGAAACGTCTGAGAGTCAAGCAGCTGGGGAAGGCACTCAATTAAATATAGGTTTGCAAACAGAGTGAAATTCTGTTTATAATTTTCCATAAATTCAACATCGATCCAGCCACTTGCTTGATCAAAAATGTCAGTTTAGTTAGAAGGGATGGTCCTGATCAACATTTGGTACATCCAACGCTTTAATGAAATCTTACGGCTCCAAAGACACATGTTTTGAATGAGTTTGATATCTCATGGCTGTTTTATTCATAATCTTGCCGCTCCAAAATCTCTGCGTGGTATGAATTTTTTTTCTGTGGAATGTTGCAACCATCAACAGGGATGAATTTGAGGGAGTAATAAATGAACGGGGAGAAACTTGACCTATCCATTATTTATTTAAATTTAACATCGTTGACTATTTAACATCCTGTTTTTAAATTACAATTGTAGATGAAAGGTTTACTCTACATGTGTAATAGACGTTACCTGTTCAAGTTCAATAAATTGTTATAAGATAGTATGCTAGTAATTTCAAGCACAAACTTGTAGTTTAAGGGGATCGGGCTGCCCCCGGAGAAACTTCTACAGTTATTATCCGATCATCATGAAACTTCACATACATACTTAAAATGTAAAAAGAAAAACATTTTGCTCGTATGAATTTTTCGAAAAAATTGATAGAAAACGTGAAATTCATA